GGGAAGAAGAGGCTGCAGGGACTAGTCTAGCAGCTAGACAGCATCAAGGATCAGGTGAGTATATCTTCCTTAATCCAGCCCCTAGACCAAAATGAACATTTAAAATGGACCTTTACCCACTTTCACTTAAAATCATGTCCACATGCAGCTTTGCATGCTGAGATGAAATAATCTTACATTCATTAGTTGAACAAAGATTTTTCTATTACTTACAATTATTATTTTTCCACTTCCTGTCCTCTTGGGCATTAGTGATGTGATGTGCCCAAGCGTTGCATCCTGGGAAAGTTACATCTGCAGAGCATTGCTGGGAAATCTCATCTGTAATCTCACGAGATCTCAGGGAAAGGTATTTTCCTCCCCCTGAGATGATGTGTATGGTCACATGTCCTGGCCACATGTGCCAGAGTTCCAGGAAGTAAAGGAATATATAGTAATCTGCCTTTAATAAAAATGGCCACCTTGAGGTGAATGCGAGGAAGAGAGAAACAAGGTATGCAAAGAATAAAAAGCTGACATATATATCTATAGGTATTTGTTTGTAGATTGTCATTACTAAACATTTCTAAAGGTGTCTTTGTTGTCATTTCACAGACATAAGTAAAGTTACTCTTTAAGCAGGTAGCCCCACTGCAAGGGTTCATTTTGTTAATTCCTGGAGTTCCTCTTTAACTGCAAGAACTTGTTCTCGCCACCTTGGAAAAAAAAAAGTCCAACAAAAGATTACCAAAACAAAGTAGTTATAGGACTTTCTGGCCCCCAAATACCACCTTTAGGTATGTGCTTGTGAGACGCATTCCCTGGAATTCATAGAGTGTCATTGATACTCTTTAGAAATCCATTCCGTGATAGTGTGACAAATGGCAGAATGTGACAGTTTCATGTATGTATCGGTAAGGAATACATGAACTTGGTGCAACTTTCGCAAGGGTCTTTCCAGCGAAAAGGCTGAGTTATAATATAAAAAGAAAAACTATTTGGAGCAGTTAGGATAGTAATGGAAGTGTAACAAATAATAATTCCAGAGGAACATAAAGAAGCAACACAATACACAATTACACTGCGACAACCAACATTCACTCCAATATAGAACATAGAGGTCTTATTTACCTCCATTTTCCTCATCACTGATATGGCGGGATTTCTGTATGACTCTGTAGAAAAAATAGCGCGCAGTAAGGGTACATTCACACCAAAATCGGAAGGAAATCCCAAGCCAATAGAGGGTTCATTAACTTGCAATTGTACCTTCTGATCTCCTTCTGTGCATTGCGATCTGTTTTTCAATTGATGCTAACGGAAGGACACCGAAAAAAGAAAGGGTGTGAATGGGGCTAGTTCACACCAGATCCGTTGTGCTGAAAAAAATTAGTGCATGTTCTACTTTTTTTTCAGCGCAACATAATGCAATGGAAAGGAGTGGTGTGACATAGCCCCATTGACACCCATTCATTTTTCGGTGCCCTTCCGTTAGCATCTGTTGAAAAGAGGGATCCCGACGCTGCAGGGTTTCCATGAACTTGGGGCAAGGATTTGGACTACATCCACACTGCTAGAAATGTGGTACAAATGCCTTACTGAATGGCCCCCATTGTTTTAATTCTTGCTTCTGGGCCTTCACCTCTGACAGATCCATCTTTACTTATGAACCGTGTATAATTCATTTTAATGGCAGTCACATGTTTAGTATACTTTGATGGGGTCAGGAACGCAGATTGCATCATAACCACAATTAGATCTATATTTAGAATGGTCAGCATTCCTGGCAGAATGAACATGCATAAAACATACTGTCCCCACTGACAGCAATTATATGCACCTCAGACATGAAGCAGATGCAGTCACAGTGTGGTCGCCAATGTGCTGCATCATATTCACATTGCTTAAGTGTGAACTCAAGGCAAATATTTCAAAAAAAATAACAAAATTATTGCAGTTATGTATTCATCCAAAAACATATTAACTAATTTCTGAAATTAACTGTATGCCTGAATGTAACTAGTGTAAGCACTTGGATTTGTCTTGATACAAGTCTTCTGTAATCCCTAGGACAGCAGAGCAGGAGTGGTACGCTTCATTTGTTAACGTTCATAGCGCTATCCACAGGAAATACAAAAATGTATCTTCCCAGATTTCAGTTAAAGAAAAACAGTCAGCAATAAGCATCTGTAATAATCTGAACCTGCGCTCTTGAATTGTTATAATAGTGCAGCCTAATCATGCAGGGCTTACTTAATTTGTAATAGTTACTTCTATTCTCTCCCTGTTGGAGTCGAAGTCTAAGGTTAAAATTATATTAAACACCCCTTGTATAAGTAAATATTTATTTCTATTTTTGCAGTTTGCTTTTCCCTTCTAGCATCTCTTTCCAGGACAGTAATTGATCAAAATGGACATCCAGTTGGTTTCTGCCTAGAGGGTGGCTCTGCTGCCTTGCAGAGGTTCCCTGGAGCCACCTTCATATGCACGCTCCAAAGCTGGGACTGTGTGCTGACATGCATGGTCAACGTCGAGCCAACCAGAGGAAGAATATGCAAACAGGCATGCATGCGCAAAAGCGGAATGCTGCAAGGAATCATGGGAGGCCATGAGTAGACCACCTGACTATATACAGTGCATGCTTCCTGCCCGAACGTTCGGGGGGCAGGCTGCAAGGAGGTATGGGGAAGCAGAGGTAAAGAAAAAGTGAGTCTTTGGGGCAAAATACCAATAATATATTGTGGTGTGCTGCTAAAGGAAAAATGCCTTTTCCTCCTAGTTTAATACTACTTTAGGTGTCAGGCTATATGGTCATCCCTTCTCCTGCCTGAGCTTACCACTGATAACAGGCATGCAAAAAAACTGACATGTAACAAAACTACTGTCAGGATTACTTGAAGGGAAATTTAGTTTTAACCACCTCGTGAAGCCCAGACACAGTGTCAGCAGACAGTTATAAGTTTTGAGCTCAGGTAGGAGACTGGTCTGCTTCCGTGTCATTGGCCTTCCAACCTGACACTAGGCTGACATTTCTGTCCTAACAGAGGGGGAATACAAGTAAATATCTCTGAGAGGTAAGGTTGCACTATGATAATAACAAATAGTAGAGATTCACATTATTTTAAATGCCCATTCTTGACTGGTTCTCCATAAAACCATTCGCCAACAAGGATTACCCTCACTTCCCACCTGAAGGCCAGAAAATATGGAATGAGAAAACCTTCCCTCCCTTTTTTACCAATTCCTTTACCTTGGGCAAGGCTTACGGAGATGAGGAGGATCTGGTGCTCGACACCGACTATGAAGAATGTATATGTAAGTGCTATTTTAGGAATAAAATAATTAGACCAAAAGTGAGAAGGATTTATTCACTTTTTATTAGTGTAAGTGGTTCTTTAGGAGCAATCTCCCTTTTTAGAGGATCCTTGTAAACCCATTAACCGAAAAAGAAGCACATGAGGGCGGGTATTAGGATGAGCATCCCGCCACGACAATACCACTCCACATGCCTGGTGTGTTATGGGAGGGATTCCTTATGGGAGGGATTTTTTAATGTATACAAATAGATTTAAATATATACTCCTCACCCCCATTTCCCACTGATCCAGTAATTAACAGAGGATCACAACTGTGGCAGTGCATACCATTGTCTTAATCTACTATTCACTTAAAGAGATTGAAACTTACCTTTTAGTATCACTGACTTGCACTTGAGAATGATAAACCATGCAATAATTAGGAATTAGGATTGGATTGGTATAACAGCAGTGTATATTTTTCACCTAGTACAGCTGTACATTGTGCTTATATCAAAGATCCGATCATAACTAAGGAAATTCTTTTTTTCAAATGACTGTAGATACGATTGGGCATTCTGAGTAATCAGAGGTTGAAAAATGGCGGTGTGCCAGTTTCTGTGTACGGGAATATAGACATCATTTTTGTCCTGAAGCTTTTGCAATCCAATTAAAATATTCATTTTTGGCTATGCAATACTACACACCACTCAACGCTAAGGCTCAGCACTTAATTTAGCAGCTCATACACAGTGTATAAAAAAAAGTGTGATAATACACAATAATGTCATTCAAAGTGCAATGACACTGTGCAGCAACCCATAGCAGTCAATCAGAAATCAGTTTGCGAAACTCGGATCAGTAAAAAGATTTACTTTATCTAGTTACTATTGGTAACTCTACTTTGCACAAAGTCACTTTTCTCTGACCTGCCATTCTGAATAAGTCTAATAATGTGAAGCTGAGCTGTACAAACCCATGTTAGGTCTACGGGGAGTTGGATGTATGTGTCTGTTTATATCAGATTACCTTCGATCTGTCACGCTCAGGTCCACCAAAACGGAACTCTGTTCCATTTTTTTTTTCCTGGACCTAGGAGGGGTCATCGGACGTAAACAGACAAATGTCCCTTTAGATCCAGCTGCCTATAGAGTAAAATTGGGCTTCTGATCAGATCCATCTGAAAATCTGACAGTTGGACCTGATCGGACCACCCGTGTGAAAGGGGACTAAAGGTAAACAGAATCTGTAAAGTATTACACAATAATGACTGTTATGAGCAGATGAGTGAAATGAACAGAGACACTACGCAAACCAGAAGACAATATTTAACAATGACCATTACAGCTTTATGTCACTTTAATGACTCTGCAAGCAATTAGAACAATATATCTGACTGTACCGTGCCATTTGTCTGAATACCATTTTTATATATACAGGGCTCCAGAAAGAGTGCAATGTGTGCCAAAAACCAAGTGTTCCCTTTTCCCATTATCTGTACAAATTTCACATACTATCATCAACTTTGCAAACTTGATAAAAAGTCATGAAATATTGGTGAGCACTCTCAGCAGAGCATTATGTGACCAATGGAGGACACAGAAAGGGAGTTCATAAAAAGTGTTACTTGTAGTCAAGACAGGAAGGGCAACATGCAGGGCTGCAGGGAACAGGAGAGGACAACCAGATGCAAGCAGGCATGCAATGGTCAATCATTTCACCTACCTGTTGACTGTATGTTAGGATTCTTCACAGGTTTTCCAGTTTTGTATATTCGTTTCTTCAACAAAGAGAAAGCTTTGTTTTGTTGGGACTCAATTAGAAATCCCAGATCTCCCAGGAATTTCAGCACTCTGTGTAGCAGCAGTGGTTTCACATTGACATGTAATAGTTTCAGGGGGCTAATGAGGGTCTCTGAGGGCTTTAGATTCTGGTCACAGCTGTCATATGGAAAAATACTCCAAGCCAGGTTGGGCCCTAAAGCCGATACTAAAACATGTCGAGACAGTTTGAGGAGGACAGCACAGGGCCAGGTCTTTCCCTTCCATTGCATATTCAAATGGTGGCCTCCATCAGTCTTTAGATTGTCGCCTAGAGCCTGGAGGCCACCAGCAGTCTCCCATGTGGACCTTTTCACCACATTGTAATCCAGGAGTCTTAGTGAGGAGGAGTCATCAAAACTGCTGTTTGACCATGCTAAACATAGGAATAAAACAGAGTTGGTGATTTTTCTTCAAATATTTTATTTTGTATGCATATAGTGCAAATGTTCTAATATAAAAGAACCTGACCATGTAACCTTCAGGCAGGGAAGGACTATGTAAACTTGTTAGGGAAGGATCATGGACTCAATCATGATGCTTGCTGTTGGCAGGTTAAAGCATGTCATTTTTACCTTAAGGGTGGATTTCCACTTTTGAAATCTTACCATAAAATGCAGGTATTCAGTATGTGTCCTGCAGTGCAACCTTTCATTGTAAATGTCACCCCAAATATGGCAGACCACAATGCGCAGTTGTAAATACTCCATGTGTTCTAGTGTATGGTGTTGTCAAAAATGATTCGACTTTCTAAATGCAACTCGGCTCAATGTGCAATAATGCTTGCATGGACATATGAAAAAGTGTGAATGGTCCCTAAATATCCATATATCTATATGTTGTGTGGAGAATTTATCAAAACTGGAGCAGACAAAAACTGAAGCAGATGTGCATAGCAACCAATCATCTTCTCTCTTCAGTTTGTTCAGTTAAGATATGAAAATGAAAGAGAGAAGCGGATTGGTTGCAGTGCACATCTGCTTCAGTTTGTGTCTGCTTCAGTTATGATAAATGTCCCCCTGTATGTATATGCAGTATCATTTTTCAATAATTACAAGGGTCTATTTTCTTAAAGGACAATTAAACCCTCACCTTTTTTTGCATATATCTACTGCTAGCAAGCAGTAGATACATGCAAAAACATTTTTTTTTTAAAGTTAACAAAAAGGTTACAACTTACCTGTGTCTCCGCCACATGCTCCCGTCCGAAGATCCAAAGATTCTCGGGCGGCCGCTAAGGACCATGAGGCGGGCGCATGCGCAGTAGAGATCTTCAGCCGGGAGAAGAGGAGAGACACAGGGTAAAAGCAAAGAGAAAAAGTCTGTGCAGGCAGCCCGGCAGCGTGCACCTGCACTGACACCGTGGGACAGGAAGAGACAGGAGTCAACGCTGGATCAGAGACAGGCACCAGCACTGGAGGGACTCCTGAAAACTACTGGAAAGAAAATGATCGGATAAAGAAGCATCATTTAAGGTAAGTCCTTAAAGCGTCATTGGGGAGAAAGACCATGTTTTTTTACTTTAATGTAATTTTAAGTTAAACTAATGTCTTATATCTTTTTGTTTATACTTGCCTTAACATCTTTTCCCTTGTTTAGTCATCTAAAAGCCCTGAGACTGCTGGTGGGCGCCGCCATCTTGGACGTGATGTCAGCTGCCCCAGCAGACTCAGAACTGTCACTCAAGTGACACTCTATAGTCTTCACTTTGCTCCTCCCCAGGCTGTTGCTTAAAAGGTTATGTAGGGAGGGGAGGGGTGGAGGAGCTTGGCCAGCACAAACAGTAATTAGACACTCCCAGAAGAGAAGAGGGCTATGATGTGTAAGGAGGGAGAGCGCAGTGCTAGCGAATTGACTCTTCCTGAAGCAGTCAAATTTGTTAGCAAGTTCAGAGGCATGAAAAGGAAGAAAACGCTGCAAGTAAGTATTTATAATACTTGATTTTTCTGTGCATTTACCTGCATTTCTTTAAATGGGGACATGGTTTCTTTATTTTCCTTTTAACTTTTATTTAACTTTGTTTTAAATATAAACATTTCTAACAGGGTGCACCAATAACAGAGCTGGCAGGGAAAGGACGGAAAATAATTCACTGCTCATTCAGTTGTAAATTTAGGCTTGAACTTTGAAGCTCTGTAAACCATAAGCGTTTATCAGCAGAGCAGCTGGGGTTAGCCTGGTAGGTGCCTAGAGGTTTACCTTCTTGCTGGAAATATAAATAAGAAATATCCATATGAAATATGTAATATATAACATTCTAAAGGTAATTACCTTTCATTCCTAAATATAACAAAATGACTGCATATAAATGATCTCCTTTCAGAGCAGATAACCCGGGTGAGGATTTTTTTTTTATATCTGTAGCTACTACTCTGAATGTTCTCTGCATCTGTCTATCAGAAATAACCGGTTTGACAGATTATATGTTTTCTGCTGATCCCCATAGTCAGCCATTAACCCTTGACAGGTGGAATCTAGAGCCATAGTTACAGCCTGTGGCGTGATTGTACAACATTAGATATTGTTGAGTACAAACAACTGAAAACGCCTGTGTAGGGTCATTATGGTCCAGGTTGCTCAACTTGTATAAATTACATACTTGGGCACACTGAGGTTGATTTAGGAAAGTTAAATAGGCTGTGCACTTTGCAAGGGAATTTTCCCTTAGCTTAGTGCAACCTTTCTCAACCAGGGTGCCGTGGCACCTTGGGGTGCCTTCTGACTTCCTCTGGGATGCCTCCAAATTCTCACACAAGGTCATGTCTCTGATGTAAAGAGGACTTCTGATGTGAAAGAGGGGGACTCTGATGAGAAGGGGGAAATCTGATGTGAAGAGGGGCTTCTAGTAGGAGAGGGGGATCCTGATGTGAAAGGGTAGATTCTAATGTGAAAAGGGGAATTCTGATGTGAAAGGAGACTCTAATGTGAACTGGTGAACACCCTTTTTTCTGTGTTTTTGCATGGGTCCCCCACTAAAATCTATACCAGACCCCTATTTCGGATAAAGCTCTGGTATGGATTCTGGAGGGACCACATGCCATTCTTTTTAACATTTAAAGTCTACATTTTAGACTGGGGTGCTTTGAGATTTTGCATACTTTTAAAGGGTGCCATGGAAAAAAGATCTAAAAACGCTTGCCTAGTGAATGTGGTGAAGCTCTGCTGACTCCCATCATCCAATTATGTGCAAGCAAATATGTTGTTTTTTTTATTTTGCATGCCTCTGGGTATTCTTTTCCCTTGCAAAGAACAGTCTATTCCCCTTTAGTAAATCAGCCCTAATGAGTGGGTATACATTCATTGCCATTACGCCATACATGAGTGTAAATCTTCTCCAAGGATCTCTTACATTTTAAACATCTCATAATAATTTAAACAGCTACTGTGTGTTTTAAGCTAAATAAATAGATTTGCTATCTGCTAACACTTTAATTTGTTTTTCTAAGTTTCACTTAACAGGAAGAAGCACATCTCGAACTTGTCAACAGACTCCCTAAGGCTATACACAGCGCAGGTTTAAAATATCTGATCTAACCTGTTGGATTTATTCTGTATGACATCCAGGCTGCTAACCTAAAACTAGAAGCACAAACATCTGATTCCTTTTAGGAGGGATATTTTGCTGATGGTGACACACTATACACAGTATAGATTTGAGCTGGCCATACAAGACATGCCACGCAGGCAATTATAACCGCTTGCTACTGAGAGATTTAACCATTTGTTGGCAGTCACTTCGTAAGGTTGGGGTTACACAGTAGATTTTTAGTAGCTCAGTTGTGTCACTAAAATCCTTACTGATTAATTGTTCACTAACCAGATGAAACCAATGGCTCTGTATGCAGCAGGCTACAGTAGTATGGGGTAGCATCTTGTAGCCATAAAGATCGGCTACTGTGCCATAGAGTGAAGCAAAACAGATGACAAACGCACTCATCAATTCGTCACCAGCTTTACAGTAAGGTGCACACGGAATGGGCTTTAAACAGTAAAATGTTTTTAACCTTAGGGTGAGACAAGTTTTTTTACATGCTAGCTTGTGAGTGTGCCAGGAAAACTTTTTGCTATTATATTAGAGTGATCGCTACTATATTCTCCTCTGCAGAAATATTCCCCGCAAGCCTTTTTGCACCTTAGGTTGCCCGATATCCTCAAGGGGATTTCTGGCAACCTATCTATGTGAGTATCTCACTCTTTCTTCTACATTTATTTAAAACGTATCTATAGCTTTGCACTATAAAATACTACACTCAGTCGGATCTCTCCCAGGAGTTTCTGTCCTTAATTTTGTTGCTCCTACTGCTCAGAGTTGTCTCTCTTTCAATATTCTGCTCTCGCTCACTCCATAGGGAGCCAACTGATCCATCTGTTTAGTGATCAAATATTACGACTTGTAAATAATCATTAGTGATTGTTGAGCTACTAAAAATCTTCTGTCAAGTCTAGTGCCTAATGAGCTTGCGGCTAGCATATAGTTGAACCTCAGAGTAGCAAGAAATTTGAATCAACTGCGTAGTTTAGGGCCGGTTCCCACCATAGCACAGCACTGAAGGCACGGTAGTGTATGTTTACTACACACTATTGCACAGTACAATGCACCACACACTAGGTGTGCTGTTGCGTTGTGTTGCCATTCATATGATTGGCACTCCAATGCACCTCCTGGCAGGAGCATGTGTTGCGGCGGCATGAAACAAAGTAATGCATGCACTACTTTTTTCACGACAATGCATGGTACTGAGGTACTGCACAGTGTGCTGCAAGACATGTGCACCTGTATGCAGTTACCTTGGGGTGCCATGTAAATAAATGCCAATGCAATGCCCCAGCACACCTAGCATTCAGCGTATTGCACTATGTGATAGCGTGCACTAAAAGCACTCTATTGGGTGAACCAGCCCCCAGGCTATCTGACCCAAACTGCCACAGGATTCATGGCCAATCCAGCTGCTTGGTTCCCCCCTACCAAACAGGGACACAGCAAAAGTTTAAACAATGTTTTATATATTTATGCAGACTTATCTATTGTGTAATTATATTTCCGCTCCTGCCCGTTTAATCCATTCAAGGTGGAATCAATCAAAGTAGAACCTCAGAAATTACCCCAATAGGGACCAATTATTATGTTGTTAAAGCTGAACTCCAGTATTTTTTTCCCTGGAAATCGCATAATTTACCTGTAATTAGGTATACCCTATATTTGGATGACTGCTTCTTGCTATATAAAACCTTCCTTCAGTGATGCCGGATCCTAGACAGAGAGGTGATCTTCCAGCGCTGCAGGGGTTAACTGCGGCTGTAACTGTGAATGGCTCATGTCATCAGCCCTCCTCTTCCTTTTCCCTCTGCAAGGCGTTCTGTAAATGGACAGGTGTA